TATATATGCTCTAGTTTTTGGACGGCAGGGGCACCAATGTCCCAAAAGTATGACGGAGGGTATCTGCATACCATTTACGATAGTTCGGAGATATATTTGTCTTTTTTCCCTTTAAAAAGTGTCCAAAATATTTCTAGCTTTAGAAAACTACGAATATTAAATAAAAATACAAAATACAAAATAGAGACAAGATCGGAACTAGAGTGTTGGCCATGAATTCGGCTAAACTTAGTAATTTCAAAAGATTAAAATTTAGAACTCATAGACTTCAAATTCTAACTTGGGGACGTGTGGTAATTAAGGTTGAAGACTTTATGTGAAGCAGCAAATAGTTTAAATGTCGTCACCCATCACGATCTATGTTTTATTTGAGGATATTGTCATTTTCATTAATATTTTATTATGAATAAAAGACCCCGCACGTTCTATAGATTGCCAGATATGATTCTCTGCAGTATCTACTTCACCAAATGATATCTCACTTAATTCTATCTTTACCTAACTTAATTGCTCTTGATAATAACATTTTATCCTTTTATCAAATACTATATGATTTAAGTTTCAATCATATTCTCTCACACTTATTTATAATTGGAGTTTAAGGCCTCCCAAGGGTTCATTAATCATTTTATTGTTAGCTCACATAATTATTTTTTAAGACGGAAATAACATCTGGACAGAAACACCCCTAGCTAAAATACGGAACAACTCCAGCACATGGTACCGGAGTTTCATGCTTCGACAAGTGGAACTCTCAAATGCAATGTGCTGGAGTTGGAGTTTCAAACTCTATGAACGATTCATCAAGTCCAAATTTTCATAATCCAAGTTTATTTGCTTGAGTTTCAAAGTCCATGAACGAAACATGGAATTTAAATTGATAAATGTTCAAACTCCAGTAACAAGTTTTTTTGGAATTTCTCCCGTAAATGTTCACCTCCAACCCTAAAATTATGGATTCGAGTCACCAAGAAAGCAAAAAGGATGAAAGCATTTCGGGAGGGCTAAAAAATGGGGGCATTTTTATCAAATTACGATGCTGTTAGACACTAGTATAATCTTGAAACACTGAGTTAACGGTTTGAAAATGGCTATTTTTACCAATTTCTCCTGTCTAATTAGTTATAGTTGGCCCATTCTTAACAAATGATTGCTAGTTCAAAAGAGTTGGGCTTACCAAGTCCTAAAATATTGAAATACAGTGAGTACCAAACAAAGTCAATATATCCACTGTCACATTCCTACATTTGTTTTTTGTTATATGAAGGAAGGCAAATGACTACTCTGTTCCATTGTCATTGAAGTGTTGTTATTTCTCAATAACATTGGTTGAAAATTATTAGTACTAGTTGAGAAATGGTAGATGCTACTATTAGTATCTTGAGAAGAAAAAATTGAAACTTCACTAGTTCCTCCAATGTTTGATTCATGATTTGTCCAAAATATTGGAAGTCCACTACTAGGTAGTTGTTCATTTGGACAGGTACCAAATAACTGTGCCATGAAATTCGCCTCCTCGGTAGAACATGTTCCACTTAAGGAGCTCCATTCACCTTCAGACATGGCTACCACAGGTTCCATTTTAATTTTTCTGATTATACAGAGAGATGCTCGATGTTATCGATATATATATATATATCCTTCTAAATTATTAAGGATAGAGGCTTATACTTGAACGTTTAGGTATATATATATATATATATATATATACCTAAACGTTCAAGTATAAGCCTCTATCCTTAATAATTTAGAAGGATATATATATATATATCGATAACATCGAGCATCTCTCTGTATAATCAGAAAAATTAAAATGGAACCTGTGGTAGCCATGTCTGAAGGTGAATGGAGCTCCTTAAGTGGAACATGTTCTACCGAGGAGGCGAATTTCATGGCACAGTTATTTGGTACCTGTCCAAATGAACAACTACCTAGTAGTGGACTTCCAATATTTTGGACAAATCATGAATCAAACATTGGAGGAACTAGTGAAGTTTCAATTTTTTCTTCTCAAGATACTAATAGTAGCATCTACCATTTCTCAACTAGTACTAATAATTTTCAACCAATGTTATTGAGAAATAACAACACTTCAATGACAATGGAACAGAGTAGTCATTTGCCTCCAACTAACAATTTAATCGAAGCGGATGCAGTTGAATTTTTGAACAAACAAGTGAGCAATGACAGCATTGAATCAGGTGAAAACATTATGTCTGAATCTGTTCTTCATGGAAAAAGCTTGCAGCTAGGAAGAGAATATGATCAAATGCAACAATCAGAAAGCTCTAAGAAAAGATCACGATCGCCTGTTGATCATGTGAGTGTCATCTGAACTCAAATCTTTTTGATTAATTATTATTTTTACTTATAATTGATCATCTTATATATGTCCAGAAGAACAAGAGAAGTGTAAAACCAAAGAAGAGTAGTGTTGCTGATGATGAGGAGACTGGAAACAATAACAATAACAATAATACTGTGCTTCACAGGCAGAGCTCATTTAGTTGCTGTTCAGAAGATGAATCTAATGTTTCTAGTTATGATTTATATGGATTAGCTTCGAGCGATAACAACTCAAAAGGAGTTTCTTTGCCCAATGGAAAATCCAGAGCCAACAGAGGCTCAGCAACAGATCCTCAGAGTTTGTATGCAAGGGTAATTATCATCTGCATTGTTATCCAAATTCGTCTAAATGTTGGTCCCTAATCAGCCTTTTTCTTATTACAGAAAAGAAGAGAGAGAATTAATGAGAGATTGAGGATCTTGCAGAGTCTCGTCCCTAACGGAACAAAGGTATATATGTTGTACTCAATGAAACTCCATCAAGTAATGATGTGTTCGTGTTTAAATTGGAATCTGATTAGCAAGAGTTTCCATGATAGGTTGATATTAGCACCATGCTTGAAGAGGCTGTCCAGTATGTCAAATTTTTGCAACTTCAAATCAAGGTAACTCATATTTTCTCTTCACAACATGTGTTAACAAGATCAAATTATGAACCTACTAACTCTGAATCCTGAATTCACCGCTAATTATTGTAGCTATTGAGCTCTGATGATCTGTGGATGTATTCTCCAATAGCATACAATGGAATGGACATTGGGCTTGATCTGAAGATTGGAATTCCAAATCCAAAATCGTAAATTTGGAAGATTGATGAATTCAGCTCAAGGCATGCAGGTTAATTGCAGTGGATTAATTGAGAGCATTATCATACACGTACAAGATGACAAATTATTTATTGCCATTTGTATAATTGTCTAGTTAATAATTAACACTTTAAAACTAAAAAACACTTTGTCTGTCGTGTTATCCATTATCAACTAATCATTCTACTGATCATCAAACATTTTTAAGTGTAATAAAGTTACTCTCTACGGAAACATGATGAGAAGTTTTTTAATGTTTTTATTTTTCCTATTTGTTTAGCATTTTCTCATGATGTTGATCATAAGGAGGTTAAGTTGCATACATTGAGAATGAAACCATATGAATATTATGATGTATCACATGGTTAAAAAACTTCCTTTTTCTTCTGGTAGAAAGTTGATCCTGCTTAAAAGCTGTATAAAATCCAACTTTCCAAAACCAAACAAACAAAGCACTTGCTAGTAAGCAGCCCAAAATAGTTCTCCTTTAAATGGAGTTCATTTTGCAGCTCCAACTAGACAGTTGCTATTAGTTTAACACAGTTAAAGGAAACAAATTGAGAAAGGTAAATGCAGAATCTCAAAACAAGTCGAGAAAAACAACTGTTTGTCAATCAGATATCAGATTGTGAACACAACTTCGTTAGATCTAGGATACTCTAAATGAAACTGAAATCAGGTCTAACAACAGTAATATTCATGCAACAAAAACATAGTGAAAGAGCGGATATCATTCGCCAAGATTTTCATGTTCTAGTGTAACCATGCTTCACATATCACACAGCTACTAATAGCGTGACAACTCTTTAATACAACAGAAGCACTCGTGAGAAGTGACAAAAAGGAGAGGCGACTTTACATGATTGCATGCACCAACTTAAATTTATGGTGATACAACTCATCCCATATTACAGCTGCAAATCCTACACCACAAACTCTTTATCCTGACCCTAAACTGATGCCTAAAACATTACAAGACCCTCAACGATACATAAAATAAGAGGGAATAGAAGATAAATTAAAAGAAAGAAACAATCCTATGTTGTCTTTATTATCCACTGTTATATAACAGACGTAAGAATTTACCTTCAGTTTCTTTATCAGAAACAGAAGGCAATTGAATCTGCCACTTCATCCAAATTCTCAGAAGAATAATTACTGACAATATTTTCCATCTGCAATGCGAGCTTGGCAACATTTGGACTTCATTTTGGATATCTGGTGGCATGACGATATCTATTTCAAGCATGATCCTCGTTGACGTGATTTTGGACTTCGCTTTGGCTGTCCAGCGGCATATATTGTGCCATAATAGCCCTGATCTCTGAATCCATGTATGACTGAGGAGGTAATAGCAAAGGAGATATAAGTGTGTATCCAAACAGACAAGCAATGTCCAGAAACAAGTGTATTGTCAAGTTTTGTATTTCTGTCTTCCAGCATTAGTAATAAATTAAGGAAATGATTAATTAACCAAGTATCATCATAAATGTATATGTCGACATAGATAAACAATTATCTTCAGCTTATCCCTTCTTTTATCCAACAAATAATGGAACAACAAGAGAAGATAAATACAAATACGTAGTAATTTTCTTTTATTCCTTTTTTGGATTTCTTTTTTAGGATAACCATGGTGTCCGGACCAACTTGCACACACCAACTAATTCCATGGAATAACTGCTACCTCCCACCAACAAAGATATCTTTTTAAATTTCTTATTATAATACTAAGTAGAGAAGTGGGGGATAAATATTTCTTCTTTCACAGTTTACTAAAAAAAAAAGGAGGGTAAATATTTCTTTCCTAACTAAGAATTACTCTTTCCCAAAACCGGTTGAAGAACATAAAGGACGGATAATTCTCGGATATGGGGTAACCCATTTAATATGAGCAAACTACCTACCTATAGTAACTACTGAGAATGCTCTGATCAGTCAACAACTAACAAATAAAAACTTCAGAAAATAATGTAGAAGATTGTTTACCAGCTTTACCAAGATTTTCATGGAGAAAAGTCAAATACTCTAAAAGAATTACTATTAACAATCAACAATATAAGTCCAAATGATTTCTAAACTTACCCTTAATCTGTATTTGTACACAAGATATGCGCCACCACCAGCCATAGCCAATCCAATCAAAATAGCCCAAACTGCAGCCCATGCCGATTTGACTTCCCTAGCTCTCTTGCCTAAAAATGAAAGTTGTCATGACCAATTCTTACTGTGGATTAAAAATTATGCACATTTCTGAATGAAGTCTGGACTATATGAACTTACTTATGCAGGTATCATGGTCTCTGATGTACAGTAGTTCCCCACTGCAACTGCACTCATAACTGCCCCACGTATTTTTGCAGCTGCATTCAGGGCATTGGCATGCTTTCTTTTCTCTACATTCATCAATATCTATGAAGTGGAAACACAATACACAATGATAGAGGTTAAAGTTGCAGTACCAATAATAGAAAAGAAGCTCTACATGTTATAATATCTCAGTTCGCATACGCAAAAAGCTCATCTCATATAATGTTTGCAAGTTGCAACATGCCTCCGGAAATCTAATTCCCAGCAGTAATTCAGCACATTCCTTGCAGGCACAAGGGGTGTGTGGGGGTGGGGGGTAATACAATAACTTCATCATGATCAAGAAAAACTGCTTACCTTCACAGCTTTTAACACCATCACCTTTAAACCCTGGAGGACATGAGCACTTGCCTTCCTCGTTATCCTGTTAGAACATGATCAGCATTCAAATCTGAACCAATTTGAAAATGCGATGTGGAGATAAATATAAGAAAGTGAAGTTACAAGAGATGATTAACTAACCACACAAGCAGAGAATGTGTGACCATCTCGAGTGTCATGCCAACAGCCTCCATTGTTGAGTTTGCATCGCCCACGTCCACTTGCTGAAGATAGTGGAAGTAGATTATTGAAGTCTCAACATAATAACAAGAGACAGCAAAATTGTGTATGAAAAATAAAAAGAAACTCCCTCCGTCCCATTTTATGTGAGGTACTTTGACTCGGCACGGAGTTTAAGAAAGGAAGAAAGACTTTTAAAACTTATGGTCTAAAATGAATGCTAGAAATTTGTGCGGCTATAAATCATTTCATTAAGAGTAAAATAGACATTTTAAAGTTAAATTATTACTTAATATAAAAACGTGTTATTCTTTTTGGGACTGATTAAAAAGGAAAGTAAGTCAATATAAACTAGGACAGAGGGAGTAGAAAAGACTGAGGAAAGAAGCAACATTAAGACAAATGTTTCTCAAGTAAACGAGTATCATAAAGGATATCAGACGGATAAGAATCATATATGAGCTGTATTCAACCTCTGAGAGCTAGACATTTTAGATCATACTTTTCAGAAAATAAATCCAGTATGATGTGTTCTACTACCTTCTACATGATACCCTTTGATGACAAACAATACAACTCAACTCAACTGGGCATCTTCATTTCTTTAATACTCCCTCCGTTCATTTTTACTTGTCACAGTTTGACTTGGCACATTCATTAAGAAAATAATTAATGATAATAGGTATTTTACCAAACTATCCCCTATTAAATGATGTTTTGGAAAATGATTTGGAAATAAGTATTTAATGCTAAGGGTAAAACATGAAAAAAAATTATTGTTTTTTCTTGATATGTCAAAAGTAACAAGTAAAAATGAAAATCTATTTTAGGAATAAGTGACAAGTAAAAGTGAACGGAGGGAGTAGTATATTAAGAGCTGAAAATCAAGCCCACAAAGGGACTGAAATTCTGCCCAAAAATGGGCTGCCATGCACGCCCATGTGGCAGCAAATTAAAGCCCAAAGGGGCTGTTTAGGAGCTGCTTCTCACGCCCAATTTGGGCTGAAAAGTCACGTCCAACAGTGGGTGTGTTATGGTTCTATATTTGGAAACTTTTCCTTATTTCTTTAGGGAAGATTTTTGGTATTATTTTACATGCTTTCCTAGTTTAAAGTCACCCCCAAAACTGGGTTAGTTTCAACCATCTTGTTAATACCCAGAGTCATTTTTCATAACAAATATGTGAAGTTTGCTTCTAACGAAATTTATGTGCATCTAAGTTGTACTTCATTTTAGCTTGTGCCCAGGTCACACCACCATCATACTCCATCCACCTTTTCCTTAGGAGTCCAAAAGGATAAATACAAAGACAACCTGATCCAGCCTCTTGTGATAAAAATGATGTATTTCACACCAACAGGTCTACAATAGTTAGAGAGGGAGCAGTCCTCAACAAACTCTGCTGGCCCTAGACAATCTATCAAAGAGATCCCAATAATAGAAGCATTTACTCGGGGAACATCAAGTACACCTCGATACTAGCTTGGTAATCAACCCAGACTTCTGCTAACTGATGAATACTATATCATTATTGACGGAAGGTTTGCTAAGACATTACTTGGATTTGATTTTATAAATAAGAAAAAAGACAAACCAATATACTCTTGCATGCACAAAAAGAATATTCTTAGAATACTTACCTATTTGTTTTTCTGATCTAATAACATACAGACATACAATTTTAGTATTTGCTACTCTTGAATTTACAGCACTTGGATGATCCATAATTAGCATAACCATCATTTCAAAATACATAGATGGAGCAAAGATTGTTAGTTTACCGGTACAAGAGCTATAACCATCTCCTTTGAACTGAACACCATCAACCACAGGACATTCACACACTCTACCACGAAATGTGTCCTGCTCATACAAATTAAGAGTTCATAAGAAAAGAGATAGAAAACAGGGAACGTTAAAAAATTTGATACAGAAACTGTTGTAAAAATTCCACAATTCAATGCAAGAACCTTGCAGGCAGTGATATTAGCAGCCTTGTCTTGCCAGCAGCCACCATTATTATCCAGGCATTCATTTGTCTCCACATCTGTTATAAAAGAAAGAACCATTATATGTTGTGATTAAACATCTAGTTGATATTTAGCTTTAAGAATCATGTGCACTCACCATCGCTCAAACAAACTGCAGGCTCAGTAGTCTCCTCAAAACCAGCGCAAATAGCCTTTAAAACAGC